GGATCAGGACGGGGGTTTAGGATGGGGGAGTTAAAGGTCAAAGGTAGTTTAATTCTTTCGTTACTACTGGTATAAACGTTAACTTGAAATAAAGTATTCAGACCAAAGTGTGCATAGGCACTTAAAGTGCGCATAGGCACTGTTGTGCAGCCTCTTCCCCGTCGCAAGCATAAGGCCTGAGTTCGATTCACGTATGGGGAGAATTTTTATGGAGTCTTGGTATCTTCATATTTATGCTGCGACGTTGTGTCCCTCTCAGCCCGAGCTTGCTGCAACAGACAAGATCAAATCCTGCCTCCTAAATGATCTAAATGGTGTCAGTGTGAACGTAAAGAAACTACATTCTTTTACAGTGAGTAATGGCACTGTTGTCATTTTAAGTTGCTCAGTTTTTACCCCCCCCCCCCCCTTTCTCTCCCCCCCCCCCCCTTTAAAGAAACTCTTAACAGTTTAACCCGGGGGTTATCATGAACGTTTAAACTCAAATAATGTGCACAAGTACTAAGTGTATTTAGAGAAAAAGAAATAGGGTTATTGAAGCAACGCAAAAGGAAACCTCGTGACATTCACTTGATGTTATGTTATGTGTTTGTTTACACCCACATTCCTCCCGCCCCTTCACCTATTTGCTTGCGTCTTTCTTACCTGTTCTCACCTGGATCTGTCGCATCGAGAGCAGAAGTTCTTGCCAGTCTATATTTAGAATCGCGCAATTACGTCATCGCCTTGGAAACTTTCCCGGCTGTGCCCGCTTTTTTGCAGACCTCCGCCAGGCACATGCTTCTCATCTTCGCGCATAGACGCGTTGTGAGGTAAAGGGAAAACCGATCGACATTATATCAAAGTTGATGTCTGTAGTTTCTAGCGTCAGGAAGGGGATGACGTAAGTAGGTGGGTAGGAAAGATCTTTAGGATCTAACTCAGGCTTAGATTCAGTTCTTGTGCATTGCTGCTGCTGCTGTTGCTGTTGCTGCTGTTGCTGTTGTTGTTATTGTTGTTGTTGTAGCTGTTGACTGTTGTAGTGTGCGACGAGTCGGCGTAATGACGCCCAAATTTGCCTTGCTAGTCTAGCATGTCAGTATTTTGGATGCTGCTGACATTTGCCCACAGCTAAGATTGATGCTACTATGCACATTCCTGACATTTACAAACATTGTAAACCTACTCAAGTCACAAGTTGGACTGATTCCCGTGGTATCTGGCGAAATGGAAAAGACATTGATAGCCGAGAAGCTATTTCCTTTGCTCGTAACCATTCAAGAAGAATGGGATTTCATACTACGATTTGGGTATACGTACTGCATATAATTCTTGACAAATGCATGACATGTAATCATGTAGACTAATAATTGTGGTCTTGTTAAACTAAATGCATGAGTCTATAGAGAGAATGGAATGAGAAGAGTCGATTGATAACTGATCATTTGTTCCATCTCTCGCTTTATTGCCAGTGCTTCCTTTTACGCAATTTCTTATGTCCCCAGATAGTGAAGACTTTCAACTGAAGCAAGTTCGAAAGACATCTACAAGTAGTGGTCGCAGCTCTCACTGCCCCCCGCCGCCATCATGGCCAGCTCGGACGTGTCTCTGGCTTCCGAGCACGTACAGAGATTACTGCAGTGCGCCGTCTGCCTAGAGCTCTTCAAACAGCCCAAAATCCTCCCTTGCCAACACACCTTCTGCCTCCGACCATGTCTCGAAGGCCTCGTCGACCACAGAACCAGGTCAATTCGTTGTCCAGAGTGCAGAGCTGACCATTTCGTTCCTCGTAGCGGCGTCACGGGATTCCCTAACAACCTGACAGTTATCGGATTTCTAGAACTGTCTCAGAACTCCTCACGAGCCAACGATGATCGAGGAAGGTCCGAAAGAGGAGGGGGAGGAGGGGATGCCGGGGTGGTGGAAGCGGCGCCGGACAATTCTTCAAGGGGTTCAGCTTCACAACAGTCGCACCAGATGGCTCTGAGAGCAGCAAGTCCACCGACCATGCCAGTGGACGCGGCTGGTGCGGAGGGCGGGGGCTGTAGTGTGTGCCACGCCGAGGGCAGGATCACCCGCTGCGGTCACTGCGACCAGCTCGTGTGTAATGAGTGTCGCCGCATTCACATAGAGCAAGTAAGTGAAGTCGGGGTCAAAGTTAAGTACAATTGCCACCCCCCCCCC